TAAGAGAACTGTGTAAGTTCAGACCAAACCAGAACAAGTCCTTCATCTAACGCAGTTCCTAATCTTTTTGTAATCTGGGGCCTTTGACATCTGGGGAAGCTTCCGGACCTCTTCTGAGAGTCATGTTTTTCAATGCATAAAACAGAATGAATGCATTGTATTACAAATAACGCCAGCTATCTTGCATTGAAGTTTTGAATTTTTTTTCACTTGTAATAAATAGATGAGGCTCCTATAGTACACATTAAACTATAAGAACAGCTGGCTCAGTAACTACTATAATTTTGAAGTAATGATACATATAAGTTATATTTTGAGATATCTGCAATAACTATACTGTGGTTTAAAAACATCTGTGATTTCGACTGATGACAAAGTTAGTGGGGGTTTTTTTTGTTGTTTTTTGTGTGTTTTTTTTTTGAGATGGAGTTTTGCTCTTGTTGCCCAGGCTGGAGTGCAGTGGCGTGATCTCAGTTCACTGCAACCTCCACCTCCTAAGTTCAAGCTATTCTCCTGCCTCAGCCTCCCAGGTAGCTGGGATTCCAGGCACGCACCACCATACCCAGTTAATTTTGTATTTTTTTAGTAGAGACGGGGTTTCACCATGTTGGCCAGGCTGGTCTCAAAACTCCTGACCTCAGGTGATCCACCCACCTCGGCCTCCCAAAGTGCTGGGATTACAGGCATGAGCCACCATGCCTGGCCAGTTAAGTGATATTTTTAATGCAACTGTAATTTGTTACATACATTCATAATTGAAGGAAATATTAAATTTCAGTTAAAGGCCAGTGGCTCACATCTATTATCCCAATTAAAAAAAAAATGTGGGGATGCTGAGGCGGGAGGATTGCTTGAAGCCAGGAGTTTGAGAACAGCCTGGGAAACAAAGCAAGGTCCCATCTCTACAAAAAATAAAAATAAATAAATAATAAATTAGCTGGGTACAGTAGCATGTGCCTGTAGTCCCAGCTACTTGGGAGCCTGAGGCAGGGCTATCACTTGAGCCTGGGAGTTTGAGGCTGCAGTGAGTTGTGCTCGAGCCACTGCATTCCAGCCTGAGCAACAAAGTGAGACCCTGTCTCTAAACAAACAAAGTAATAATACATTTCAGTTAGAGGTTAATGAAAATAAAACCAATTTTTTTCCCACCCAAGTTCATAGACCTCCTGGATTCTTTCTGTGGACCTTGGGTTACTCTTCCCTAAGTTTTCTTTTTTTTTCTTTTAGAGACAGGGTCTTGCTCTGTCACCAAGGCTGGAGTGCTGTGGTGCAACCATAGCTCACTGCAGCCTCGAACTCCTGGGCTCAAGGGATTCTCCCACCTCAGCCTCTTGAGTAGCTGGGACTACAGGGACACCACCATGCCCAGTTAATTTTTTAAAACTTTTTTTTTTTTTAGAAATGGGGTCTTGTTCTGTCACCAAGGCTCATCTTGAACTCCTGGGCTCAAGCAATCCTCCCACCTTAGCTTCCCAAAGTGCTCAGACTACAGGTGTGAGCCACCATGCCCGGACTTCTGCCCTAAGTATTGTTGGCCTCACTTTCCCAACTAAAATGGGAGCTCACTAAGAACAAAGGCTGTTCCTTCACCTTACATTTGGTAGCTTGAAAGGGCCTACCACACGGTAAGTGGTCATGTGTTAGTCTGTTAGGTCTTTTGGATTTTCTAGGTAGACAATCACATCGATTGCAAATGATAGTCTTTCTCTTTTCAATCTTTGTATTTCTTTTTTCTTGTCTTATTGCATTGACTGAGATCATTAATGAAATGTTGAATAGTAGCAATGGTGGAGGGCACCCCAATCTTATTATGCCCAATACTCATTAATTTATGCAATAGGAATGTAAAGTACCTACTACCGGTCAAATCCTGTGCCTGGGGATAACAATGTAACACATTTGAGATCTTTTCCTGTCCACTGAAATGTCTGAGCAGTAGCAGGATTTCAGTGAACACAACAATGCTGAGAACATCACCAAATTCTCCAGACTTGCTGAAGTGCTCCTTTGGGATCCTGGTTCCCAAAAAGTACGGACATAGGTCCCTGCTGGTGGCTCCAGGTTCCAGGCCATCAGTAAGGCTGGGAGCTGCAGACTTTCCCAGGGCCACTGCAGTGCGGAGCAGAGGCAAGTACCCGGGGAGAAGACTGAGAGATGCCTCTGTAGGGGAAGGGATGGGGAAAGGCAGCCAGAGGATTGAGCCAGGCCAGGGGTTGAGCCTTGCCTTGCCTTAGCAGGGCCTGCTGAGGTCACCACCTGTCTACACTAAGGGTCTAACTACAGGCAAGACCAGATGTAAAGACAGAGGACTGCAACTTCCAGGTGTGCAACTAGGGGACGGGGTACTTGTTCCCTTTTCCCTTCCTCAACCAGAGGGGAGTGAACACAGAGGAGGGGCTGTCGGGAGCAGTCCCCACATCCTCTCTAGTCTGTGTAGCTGGCCCTGGAGGAGGAGGAGAATTTTTAATAAAATATAAGGAAGTTGAAGTTGAAAATGGACCAGACTATGCCTTAGGAACTAGCATAGGACTGTTGTAATCATACATGACTGAGAAGTCAGGAGATCCGACCAAAATATTTTTAAGAAAGCCTGCTGCAGGCCGGCTTTCTCATGCCTGTAATCCCAGCACTTTGGGAGGCCGAGGCAGGCGGATCACTTGAGGTCAGAAGTTCAAGACCAGACTGACCAACATGGAGAAACCCCATCTCTACTAAAAATACAAAAATTAGCCAGGCATGGTGGTGGGCACCTGTAAACTCAGCTACTCGGGAGGCTGAGGCAGGAGAATTGCTTGAACTCAGGAGGCAGAGGTTGCAGTGAGCCAAGATCATGCCATTGCACTCCAGCCTGGGCCACAGAATGAGAATGTTGTCAGGTGCAGTGGCTCCTGCCTGTAATCCCAGCACCTTGGGAAGCCAAGGCAGGCAGATCACTTGAGGTCAGGAGTTCAAGACCAGTCTGACCCACATAGTGAAACCCCGTCTCTACTAAAAATACAAAAATTAGTCGGGCATGGTGATGCTGGCCTGTAATCCCAGCTACTCGGGAGGCTTGAGGCAGGAGAACTGCTTGAACCTGGGAGGCGGAGGTTGCAGTGAGCCAAGATCCCATCTCTGCACTCCAGGCTGGGCGACTCCGTCTGGAGTGAGACTCCGTCTCAAAAAAAAAAAAGAAAAGAAAGCCCAGCAGAATTGAGGAAAGCCGAGTCAGTTGAAGCCGTGGAAACAATACCCCTATGGGAGGCAGAAGAATGCACCCCCCTACCAAGATATCCACATCCTAACCCTCGAAAACCTGTATGTTGCCTTAAGTGGCAAAGGGGAATTTGCACATGTGACTACGAGAAGGATCCTGAGCTGGAGAGATTAGCCTGGATTATCCAGGTGGATCCCATATAATCACAGGGCTCCTCAGAAGGGAGAAGGCGCTGTAACCGTGGAGGCAGAGGTGGATTGAGGCAGCCAAGGATCACAGGCACCTCTCCAGCCCGGAAGGGCAAGGAACACACTACCCTGGCGCCTCCAGAAGGCACAGCCCCATCCACACCTTGATTCTGGCCCTGTAGGACCCATCTGAGACTTCTGGCCTCCAGGGCTGTAAGGTAACACTTTTGTGTTAAGCCACTAGGTTTGTGGTGATCTGTTACAGCCGCATGAGGAAACTAACACAACCCCAAGGAGGTGAGCCTCTCCCCACAGCCCCGACCCAACCGGAAGGGAGAGGTGTGCAGAAGAGGGCTCTGCAGGATGTTTGGGACAAATGGTCTCTGGGGAAAGACAGAAGCTAACAGAACTGATTCCACTGTGTGAACAGGGTACTGGGAGGGCCCACAGGGGAGGGACTTCAGAGCTGGGCCTGCGCCAGAGTTGGCCAGGAGCAAGGCAGCCCAGGACAGGCAGGGGCTGCCCGCGGGAAGGTTCGCTCTTGCCAGTACCATCCTATGAGCAGCCTCAGCGCCCCCGACCAAGAGGAGTCCTGAGGGCTGCGAGGTTGCTCACTCCTGACAGCATGCTGCCCAGCCTCCACCACTGCATGCAGAAACTTTGCAGGGGACGAGCCCAAGGAATCAGGACACCCGGAGGCAGGGACGGCCCGGAGACGGTGGAATGGAGCAGAAGCCCCCCGAGAGGGGTTGGCGGGATGAATTCGCCCCGCTCCAGCCTGAGGAGGAAGGAAGTAGTTCCCTCCGCCCACCCTTCCCTTAGGCTGGTCCGGGGCAGGATTCTCGTGATCCGCGATTCGCTCCCACGGGCGGGACCTTTGTAACTGCGGGAGGCCCAGGACAGGCCCAGCCTGCGGGGCGGGAGGCAGTCGGGGTGAGGGAGGTAGGGACGAACGGGTGGACTGACCACAGGCAGGGACAAGGGGGCTGAGACCCGGGGAGAAGCCTAGACGCCCGCCGACGGTTGGGGGGG